GGTTTCCTCAGTATCCTTTAGGCCAGTAAATCTGGTCTTTTTTTTTGTGAGTTAGAATTTTGTTCTATAGCCTTCTCCAGCTCTGTCCAGAACCCTCTGTGACCTAATATTTTGAAGACAAAGCAAGAGGGACAGTAAAGGTGAGGTCAGGCCCTACTATATTATTCTCTTAACCTCATCCCATTCGAATGGATGAGGGCCTTAGCGCACAGCCCATCTTCCACCTGGGTCCTTGGGAGTGCCCCGCCTCTGGGACTGCCCCCACAGGTCTCTGGGTGACAACACAGCCTAGATGGTCAAGTTGATCCTGTCACTTTCCCCATGCACTGTTACACTGAACTTCCCACTAGTCCCCAGACCTCCTTTCAAGACTCATGCTGTTCCACTGGAATGTCCTTCCCCATCCTCCTTAGCGCTCTCTCAAACTTCCACCTTTCCTTTAAGAACAGGCTAATCACCTTTTACTTTAGGAAACCTCCTCTAAGCCCAGCGCTTTCTGCCTCAGCATCTCTCTTCTGGGCTCTGTGGTGCTCTGTGCTCTCACATCGTGTCATGGCTTCATGCTATTGTAAATGTCTGCTCCCCTATTCAGCTGTGAATGCATTGGGGTCAGGGGCTATGTCTTGTTCATTGCTGTCTCTCAATGCTCAGCAGTGGAGGACAGAGAGTAGGTATTAGGGAAGAAGTGAATGAATAGCTAAAACATTGAGGAACGGCTTCCCTGACCTCACCACTCAGTGCTGTTTGCCTCAGACCCAGATTCCACAGTGTTCTTCTCCCCTAAATCGGGACCACTTCAAAGTCACTTCCCAACTGGTATGCTCTTCTCTATCCCCAGTGGGGACAGATAGATGGAGATCTGTGCTCACATGGACCCAGCACACCTCCTTCTCCATCCTCCTGCCCCCAGAACAACAACCTGCAGACAGCCATCACTGATGCTGAGCAGCTAGTGGAGCAGGACCTCAAGGATGCCCAGGCCAAGCTGATGGAGCTCAGGGAGGCCCTGTAGCAGGCCAAAGATGACCTGGCACTACTGCTGTGCAAGTACCAGGAGATGATGAGCATGAAGCTGGCCCTGGACATTGAGATCGCCACCTACCGCAAGCTGCTGGAGAGTGAGGAGTGCAGGTGGGCGGGGACCGCTGCCAGGGTGGGAACCTGCCTTGAGAAACAGGTTCATCAGGACCTTATGTCCTTGGTTAGATCCATAGTGACTTTTAGCTTGGCTGCACTTGCCTGCACCTTCCCTGCGTATCCCCAGTGCTCTCCACAGCATAAGAAGGGGACAAAGGAGGGCCTCAATGAATGACTGTAGAACTGCCTTGCGCTGCCCAGCATTCTTCCCCTCTCCTAGCTCCTCCAGGCTCAGGGATGCAAACTTGTTTTTAATTCCCTACAGTACAGCACATCTGTGCAGATCAATTTTTTTTTACTTGAAATGAGCACACAATGTGTCCCAAGGGCAAATGCCAGTTGATTTTGCATGTTTTGGTTTTTTGATCATCCCTGCTCCTGCCACCCTGTTCATGTGGCAAACTGAAAGCACACCCTGCCATTGATCTCATGTTTCAGAGCAGCTAAGATCACGAGATTACGAGGGGCATCTCATTTATTCCTCAGTCTCCTCCCACTAGGCATCATGAAATCCACCTTACCCTGGTCTTACCACTCTCCTCTGCTTCCCTATCCTAGTGTTCCATCATTGCTTAGGAAGTTCTTCTTGATGTTTGACTTCAGCCCAGGCTGCTGCAGTTTGCATTTGTGCTTTCTAGATGTTTAGTGATCGAGCCATGGGAAGAGCACTGGACTGAGAGTACCACTTATTGCTGGGTGGTAGTTTGGGGGTAGCTTCTACTCGCTGTATGACCCTGATACGTTATGTCCCCTCTTTGAGGTTATGTCCTCATCTTTAAAAAGAGAGGGTTGCACTAGACAGTCTTTGAGGTACTTCCTAATG